TCTAAATCAATTTCATTATCTAAAGGGTAATCTTCACAGGTCACCTAGCCAGTTCTCTAGTTAAATTATAAGTTATAGCATATTAGCCATAGATATCTAAGAACTAAGTTATATTCCTAGATAGGAATAATATTAAAGTTAATACCTTAATTCTTTCTATTAATAAATACCTTTAAGTAATTAATCTCTTAGGTAATATTTCTATTTTTATAAATATAAGCGCTTCCTTCTCCACTTCATACTATATAGGGTTTCTTCTTATCTCTCTATAATAGCCCTAGCTTATTAACTATTTCAGGGGAAATAAGGTTTATAACAGCTCTGCTATCTACAAGTGCATTCAGCCACTTGCCCTTAATTCTAACTTTTAAGTTCAGGTATATTTATTATTATTCATTAACCGTAGTTCATAGAGCTTTTATAGGAAGTTCATTTTCTACTACTCTTTTACTTATCTAGCGCTTTATTATAGACGGCATATTCCTTTTCCCTATAGGTAATTATAGCTATATTCGCTTTTATAGTAGTTAATATCATTAAGGCAGTTATATTATATAGCTAGTTTATGCTAATATGCTGCTTCTGCTTCTTCTACTAAATATTCTATATTATTATCATATTGTGGTATTTTATCTACTTAGCTTGTTTCTAGGGTGTTACTTTGTTCTCTTTCTAGCCTATTAACTTTAGCAATAGCTTTGTAAATATCCTTATCTAGGTTTTCTTCTTCTTCGTCCTATTTATCTTAGATATATTTTCTTTATTTCATAATATATTTTAAGTTTTAGATATAATTTAGGGCTTATTCTCATATTTCAGTATACGCCGTAAATTTAGCTACTTAAGTCCCTCTGTATCTTCTGGCAATTTAATATCCTAGGGTATCTATAATTAAGTAGGGTCTTTGTTCTCTGTATTCCTTAATTTATACTAGAAAGTAGTCATTTACTTCCTTATCTTACCGGTGCTATAGGCAGTAATATCATATACATAATATCCAGGATATCTATTAATAATTCGGATATTTTAGGTACCTTCGAGGGTCTTTTTTAATTTAGACTTCTTCCTCGGGTATTATTAGGTCTTCTACTTCGTCCTTTGTATATAACCGAATATAGATGGCATTATCTTATTCTATAATTGCCTATTCTTTGGCAAGTTCTGTATACTTTAGTGCCTTACTATGCCAAACTTCATTACCAAATTCATCGATTTATAGTATATATTTTATATTCCAGATAGTTCGGTCTACTCTTCTTCTGATTTTCTTAGCTTTAAAGTCTTACATAACTTTTAAGGCTAATATATAGTTTAGGTCATTATAGTATCAGTTAGGTTATTTTATTATAACTCTAACAGGGATATCGTCTACCGTTAAGTAGGGGTTATATTAGATAGTACCTCCTTCTATTTTAAGGGGTGCTCCTACTTTATTAAATATTTGCAATAATACTTTATCTATACTTTTATCTAAAATTAAGTTAATACTAGGTTTATTATCCAGGTTAAGGTTAACTTCCTTTCCCTTCCTAACTATAGTAATAATTTTTCCTTCAATAAATTATTTTAGTTTTTCTAGTATAGGTATAGGTTTCTATTATTCTTCTTATTTATTTTATTAGATCTTTTTCTGGTATTTAGGATCTTCTCGTTATTTACTTTTATATAACCTCTATCTTTCTTTTATTTCTTCTTCAGTTTAGTTTTATATAATAAGAGCAGGATATTCCAGTATAGGTTGTTATTCCTATAGGATTCCGGGGTAGTACTTATTAAGTACTTCTTCCTTGCTAAGGAATAGATCATATATGCTGGTTCCTAAATTCAGATTTCGGATAATAGGTATTAGGGTTTTATTGTATCCTTCTTTTTAAGTCATATTTATAGTCCAGATAGCCATTTGGGGTTCATCATCATCTTCATTCCTCTTAACGGTGCTTACCTTCTTGCTTTCTAGAACTTAGGGTAGTAGTCTATACTTTTGGTTAGTTTTAACGGGGTTTCTGTATTTAGGGTCCTTATGCCCCTTTTTGCCATAGTTCCAGCAAGTAAGTTTAGATTTATCTCTAGTTATAGTTCTAATAATTATTAGTCCTAACTTAGTTCTATACAAGGTATCGACTTATTAAGTCTTTCCTTAATTTGCATAGTATCAAGGTTTATTATTACTTCGGCCTTTATTTTATAAATTATAAGTTCTCTAGGCGAATTATCGGTTATTAATTTTTATAGCCATATTAATATATTTAATAAGTAATTTAGGGTAATCCTTATCCTAGAGTTCTTCTTATACTAGTTCCTTAAGTATATTAAAGAAGAATAACATTAATACATCTTGATCCCAGGGTAGTCTGCTTGCGAGTTCTAAGAATTTTACTCCTAGGGTAGAGGCTAATCCTATCTATTTAAGTGACTTAATTTTCCTTTTAGCTTATCCTTTTTTATTAATAGTTCTAAAGGCTATTTTAAGCACTTCTTCTATTTTATATCATCTATTATCTCCAAAGAATAGGGCGGTTCTTAGCTATAGGCAGATAGGCAGATTATTTATATAATTATCTATAATAGGTTAAAACCATTTAGCAGCAGTCTTAGTAAATCTTCCGGCCATATATATCACTTTGGCAGCATTATTATAAAACTAGTTTAGGTAATAAGTAATAAAGGCTCTGCTCTAAGTAAGGAATATAGGTAGCTTACTAAGAATACCATCGAAAAACTCAGGCAGGCTAGGCTTAAGGATTTCACCTAGGTCTCTTCTATTACTAGCTGCTGCAGCCAAATTATACATTTCCTGCTAGGTATTATTATTACTCTGATTTTACTGCTATTAAAGTATAGTAAATTCTTCCAGCATCTAGCGCATTTCGTTTAACTTATTAGTAACGTTTCTAAGTTATTCGCGAAATTACTTAACTTCTTTATCTTCGTCTTAGGATAAGTCGTCTATATCTTCTATTCTCTAGTCGGTTAGTAGGTAAGGAACCAGACCAGGATTAGTAAGTGCCATAGTCTATTATCCCTAAGGATTAGTAACACCTTGCTAATAAACAGGGTTAACGTTTACAGACATTATATTTATATTACTTAGCATAACGCAGTATAATCTAAATAAGAGCTATTAACATATAACAGTTAGGTCTAACTGTATTAAACTAAGCCGTGCTTAGGTTTATTATTAGCAGATTATATAGGGCGTAATGCTAAGCGGTTATCGAAGTGTTATATCTCTTAATAGTAGATTTAATATATATTAGGCTTGATTAATATAAAGAAGTTTTATTAATAGCTAATAAGCTTATATCTATTTAGGTAGTAATTGTGGTTTATATATTATTATATTATTAATACTTAGTAGTACTTATCTTCTTAGACTAAGTATATAGTTAATTAGTCTTAGACTGTTATTGCGATATTTTAGTCTTTGAATTATTAGTTGAAGTTAAAGGACTAAAAAAGAGACTTCTCGGTCTTATTATAATTGGTGTTTAATGTGGAGAATTTGTAGGGTATATGTGATATAACCGCGAGGGTTATAATATATAATAACTAACCTGCTTAGTATTAACGCCTTATATAATCTGTAAATATAAACCTAATATAGACTAGTTTCCCAGTTTAGAACCACCTTTGTTATAGTTATTATATTTTTTAATATATTATATAATACCTTATATTATATTATATTAAAAATAAATACTTTATTTTATTATTTTTTTAATACTTTTAGCTTTACTTTATATATTATTAAATTGGTATTTTAACTTTTAAAAAAAAAGAAATTAATAGAAATTAAGGTTTTTAACTTATTTTAATATAGCCTTTTAATATTAAAGTCTTAATAGTAATTACCTTAATAAAGTAATAATAAAAAAGGTATTTAGCCTTTTAAAAATAAAATTTTCCTTTTTTTATATTTATAAATTAAGGCTACTTATTTAATTAAATCTTAAGGTTTAAGGTAGTAGTTATATAATCTACTAAGACTTAATATTAAAGTTATTATAATTTTTAATATAATATATAATACCCTATATTATATTATATTAAAAATAAATATCTTATTTTATTATCTTATTTTAATACCTTTAGCTTTATTTTATATATTATTAAAAAAAAAGGGTAACGTGGTTGATAAGCATGCCGACTGTATAAGTATGCCGACCAGCTTAACCTACACCTTAAAAGCTAATTTTTAAAGGCTATAAATACTTTAAGCTAAGCCTAAAATAGCTAAAACTTTAATAGCTTATAATTAACTTATAAATTAAGCTATAGAAATATTTCTAGATTTTTAAAAAAATTCCTTATTACTATAAACCTTATTTTATATTTACACTGTAATTTACACTGTATAAGTAGCCCTTTTTCTATAAAGGAATTTTTTTAAAAATATAGGAAAAATATATACTTATATAGCTAGCTATACTATTATTAAAAATATTTTTTTTAGATTTTTAGCTATTTTATTTTAAGTAGCTAGGTCTTATAGGGTAGGCTATTTTTAGCTATACAGTGCAGTGGTCGGCATACTTATTCGGTCGGCATGCTTATCAACCACGTTATTTAAACTTTAAAAATTATAAGTATTTATATAATAACCTAAATTAGGCTATAAGTTATTATATAATCTTATATTAATAGTTATATTTAATATTAGTAAGTATAACTAATAATTAGATTAAGGAAAGTACTTTAGAAGTGTAATAGATAGACTAAGCATAGTATTCTAAGTATACCCTAATTTACCTTTCAGCAAAGCTAATACTTTTCTCTAACACTAGTCCTATTTAATTGCAGACAGCAGATGTTGGCATCGCTAAGCGCTGCGTCAAGTTAAGTACCAAGACACCAAATATATTTCCTATCTATAACTATATGTGCTCTTCATCTTTGTTCTGGGGGCTGAAGCAAATTGTTTTATGCCTCAAATCTGAACACACAAGTTGATCACAAAGTCCAGAGGGAGCATAGGCTGAAGGCGCCGACAAATCAATTCCCCTGGAGAAGCCGTTAAGCAAAAAGAATGGCCATGAAACTCAATCTTCAGGATTCTTGGGAACTACACAAGCTTACACACGCAGTTCTCATAGTGATCTACATATCGCGTATCCAAGGCAACCATTGTCTATACCAGAACATTGATGCTTCTGTGGCCTAAAAGTCCTCTGAACATCGGACCCTCTAGTCCCACTGGATCTGAGGTCGGAATACGGCATCAAGGTGTTTGAACATCTCTTTCTCCCAACCCATATCCATCGGTGGATGTTCAAAGATAGCAGGATCAACGTAATGCGTAAGTGAAAGCTATACCTGTATCAGTGATACGTAACTCATAAGCTGGGGGGAATGCATACCGGGCTGATGGCATTCTTCTTCCAATCTTGATCATCTTTAGACTCCTTCTTTAAAACTGAGTCCACATACTCGTTCCATACAGCGGTGATTTCGTCTATGAGAGAAGGTGGAACAGCGATACCGATAATGAGAGCTCTGGGGCGAGGATGCAAGTTATGCAGAACGACTCCAAGATTGTGTGGCGAGTATCGGTAGGGCTCTAATGTCTCTTCAAAGTCCATCATGGCTGTCATGACATACGGAGACTTGTGTTCTGCAAATATTTTCGGCATGAAGACGACGCCATTTTCACGACCCCAGCCAATAATGACAACGGGAACAGGATCTGGATTTGAGGAATGAGCAGACATTGCGCGGTACTAGGTTAGATATGCAGTGTGAATAAAGATAGAGATTGAAGATAAGAGGGTTCAAGTGATAGATGGGCGTTTTATACTTGGCCCGCCCGCAGTTCTAAGAATACCGAGGCCGAGAGTGGATCTATTATCGCCGGCGGGCTCAGGGATCGCGGATGTCATGACATCACCGTGAAAACACCGAGACCGATGTTTGTGAATCTTATCACCGAACGGGCTCCATAAACGGAAGCCTTTGACCGCAGTCTGACATCTTTATGTGGATGAGTGTGGAACTTGGTGATCGTGAGACAAGGAAAAGACTCATTGTAATCACCCGTCAAGCAAGGGCCTTTAATTTTGACTTGGAGCAGAAATATATACATTAATGATGCGACAGACAGACTTAATAGCCAATACCACCCGCCTTGTCTAACGTCTCCTTACACATGCGCAGAAATACGGCTCCCAGCTCCTTTCGGTGCAGTGGGATAAGACTGAAGAATAGAGAGGCTGTGACGCGGAACAAAGTCTTGCGATGTAGCCTCACAGAATAGTTGTTCTTGAGGAAATCAAAGAACTGCTCCTGAAGCTCGTTCAACAGCTCAGTATCCGCCTCATCCAACAGCGGCTTATCATCCTCCAGAGCTCCCGTGAGGTCATAGTTATTGGCACTCATGAAGAGGATATAGTCGTACCCGCACAGCGATTGCAAGACCTTGCCAAGATCATAGTTGATGTCGCCCTCGGGGGTGAGATAATTCTCCAGCTGGCACCGCACATCAATGAAGCTAACGGTCCTTTCATCATCCGAAATGATGGCGTTGCTAAACACTGGATCGCCATGGATGACGTTTGCGTGAACGCCCTTCTCCTCAGCCTCATACGTGTCGAGAAACTCATCTAGGCGCGCAAAGAGCGATGCAGCTAGTGGACCCAGCGCATCGTAGCGATCGCGGTGCTGGTAGTATCTGCTGCGTAGCTTGGTGCCGTAATTGGCGTAGATATTGATAGGATGTTCACCAGGCGCCTTTGGTGCAAACTTAGCCTCTAGCGCTTCGGGGACATCTAAGACGGACTGTGTTGTGGTGTTTGGTGCTGTGTGGATAGTGTGCAGCGTCTCGAGGAATTTGGTGAGACGGCCTTTGGTGATTGAGCGGCCGACGAGGAGATGGGAGAATGTGCGGCCACGACGGTTCTCCATTGTGATGCTGTAGGTTGAAGTGGCAGGGATATAGTCGACGCTATAGACAGAAGGAAAGATACGAGACAGTGTAGGCGGCATGTGAGCGTAGAAGTACAGCTCACCAAGAATAGCCTCAGATTTGCTAGACTTGATGACCTTGTCTCTGATGATCTGGACAGTGTTGAAGTCACGCGCAGCAATCATACCGGCCTTCTTGACGTCTTCGGCAGAACTCCTACGTACTTGGCCGAGCCGGGGTGTGACTTCAGGCTCGTCGAGGATCCAGCCGAGTTCACGCGCGGTGTCGAGATTGGCGTTGACAGCCAAGTCGTCGACGTACACGTCAGCGTAAGGCTTGCCGAAGTTGATCTCGTGGTAGGGAATCTCGTAGTCTGAGAGCTGTTGGAAGGTGACGAGGCCGACGTCGGCAAGGACTCTGCCGGGGTTGCCGTAGTGAGTCTTCATTCTGCGTGCTGTTTGCTGGGAGGACGTCAGTATGTGGCTTGGAGAATAAGTCTGTTGTACTTACGATGATGATGTAGTGACCCGCCTTGTAAAGCTGCTGCACCAGGCGAATATTCTTAGAGATAGGCGGGCAAGTCGAGTAATCACCCGAAACAGCGGGGACTCCCACAAGCGTCATGTCCAAGTCAAAGCAGAACCTGCGCTTCTTTAACGTGGCTGGCATGCTGTGATTGTCTTTTTTGAGGGCTGCGAGTAGCTCCTGGAGCTGCTCTGGGGTGCCAACGACAGAAAAGTCCTTCTTCTGGATGGGCAGGCCGATGAACGGAACACCGCTCTGGACCATCATGGAGATGACTTGTGAGGTGTAATACTCGCCCACTTCAGCACCATCGGGATGTTTTACGTCGAGATTCTCGGCGGCCCAGGTCTTAAGGTCAGCGGCGGAGGGGAAGACGTAAGCTCCTGTGTTGGCTTTGTTGCTGATGGCTTTCTTCTCTTGGATGTCGATGATTCGTTCCGCACCGGGCCTGCATAGAATGGTGGTTAGTCTTTTTCTGTTACAAAGGGATGATGGTGATGAGCGAAGAATGCAAATGGTAACTTACGATTCGTTTTCTGTCTGAATGTAAGAGAAGATGGGCTTATCACCTTGGTCGATAAAGTAGAAGCAGCCACCATGGCCGCTGGGCAGCTTCCTCACAGAGCTCAAGATGTCATTCCAGTAAATCGTATCGCAATCGAGAGATACGGTCCGGTGTTGCAAGTGCTCCTTGGTCATGCTCTGAGTGACCATGTATAGCTGAAGAAGGGCGGACAGCGTTAGACAATGGACATCTGGGCGAAGGTAGTGATTCGTGATGTACTTACAGTCTCACTAGCACCTTTTGTCTGATGTCTCAACAACAAAAGCTTGAGATTGACCTTTGGGAAGTTCTTGCTGACAAGCTGGCCGATTCTGAACTCATGGTCAATTTGCTCATTGACAGCAATCCATAGAGTGTCTTTGGGGCGGAGGCTGAGGTTGTCGATCAACCATAGGAGCATCGGCTGCCCAACAATGTTGATGAGTGGCTTTGGGAAACGGTATCCCTCCTTGGCGAACCGGGAACCGATACCGCCAATAGGGATGATGACATTGACAGGCTCATAGTCATCTGCATGGCCGTTGATGCCATTGGTAACAGCGTTATCATGAATGTGAGGCATGATGAAGGATGTAAAACTATCGCTGAGTTTAGACAATGAGGGGAGTAATCGAAACGAATCTTGTGGTGGTCGATCACTTTAAATCGTCGTTCACCAAGGCTGCCTTTGTGCGGGAGTAGTTAGTCTCCTTGACCTTCGTCCTCCCAGACAGAAACTCATCCCCCCCAAACGCACTTAGAGATGTTCGAGAGGTACGCCACTCTCTCCAATCGTGCTCCAGAATCGCCTCCATCACTCTATCGAAAGCGCCCAGAACGGGTTACACGAAGCCATGTGGCTATAGCTCTCGACCGAAACCGGGTTCGGCGCGCGGCGAGAAGGGACCAAAAAACGTTCTCGACGGGATGCACAAGGTTTGGCGTTGCCATTGCAGTTCCAACACAAAAGCGGAAACCTAGCCAAGGAATGCTGGATTGATTGTAGGGGAAAGGATGGACGGGTAGTTATCGTGACGGAAGGCTTTCCGGGCACTTCTTTAGCGGATGGAAAGTAAAATAAACGGTCTGGAAGCTCGATAGCTACCATGGCAATCACGTATCCGTCACAAAGGATGTTGGAGTATTGGACTGGCATGCCGGCCGCCGCATTTAGACTAGAGCGACAATTTTACAGTGTATGATTGACTCGAGGCAGCTACTGTAGAAGAGATGGAACAGTCGCATGGCCCTGATTCATACAAGACACATCACCAAGCAACGATAGTGCAATCGTAGAGTGAGTGCAGCTCACAATTATCGCTGTGAGCTATGTGCACTGATGAATGGTTGCGCTGCTATAACAATTGCTTTGACGGAAGCGCCATGTTACTGGATGCTTTCCACGATGTCCGTATTGGGCGCGACGAATGAAGTAGGGCGCCACAAAGGTACACTAACGAAGCTTGCACCAGTCGAGGACATGGGAATGATGGAATGATCCAGACATGACATACCGCAATCTGGATCTGCCCCGAATTATCTGAATGCAGTGTTGCAATTATGGCAAAGGCGAAAGCTCACTTGTTCACTGACATGCATGTCGCGGACTGCCTCTGGACCCTTCGCCGCAAACAGGGGAAAAACAAGCTTTCAGCCCCGGGTCCCGGCAACGATCCCCATTTCTCGGTGACACCTCAGCCCTAAACCTTAGACCCTCTAGGATCCCGTTTGGAACGCCCACTACCAAATACAGCATGCCTCAGGGACCCTGTTCCTGGTTAGTAGTAAAAATGGACAAGCGCGATTCGTTAGATTCTAAGGTGAGGAATGTGGCGTCTTGTTAAGTATGTGAACGGCGCTGAGCTGATATCTGTGGCGTGGTTCTCGATGCAGGAACAGTGTCGAGCGTTCGAGTCTCTACGGTTGCAGATCGGTGGGCTGCTCTCCTGGAGTGATACTAAAAATCACCACGCACTGCTCTTTTTACATCTCATTCTCATCACACGTAAACCTCTTCACTGCAGGAACAATCATGTCTGCAACACGGTTTCTACGAAAGCTATCGCTGCGCAACAGCAGCCCCCAACGAGCCGCGTACCTCGCGGCGCTGGGTCTCGTCGGTATCCAGGTCGGCATCGGCGTCATCATGAAGACTGCGCAGAGCGGTGGTTCTTATGCCTTCTCACCATCGGGATCCATCACCATCTCCGAGTTTCTCAAGCTAATCCTGTCCTCGATATTCTTTTACCGCGAGTGTAAAGCTAGAGCGCAGACGGGCGTCGGGCCTTCTACACGGGGCTCGGATACGGCGTATGCGTCGCTTGCGGATGACCATCGGGACCTGGAGATTCAAGATAAAGACGAGGATTCGTCGTCGCTGACGGCGTTAGACTCGGAGGATGAGGGGTCAAGGGATTCTGGGCCGTCTTCACCACCGCTGCCTTTTGGTCTGCGAACATTCTGGAGTTACATTCGTGGTGAGGTGAGGGACGATGTGCGATTTGGTTTCTACAACTTGGCGCTCATTTACATTCTCATCAATAATTCAGTGAGTGCATCTTGTCGTTTTGTCTATGTGTAAATGAAGCTAATCATCATTTCTCAGCTCTTTTTGAGCTACAAGATGGCGGACCCAGGCACGATTCAACTCACAAAAAGCGGTGTCACGCTCATCACAGCCTTGGTCATGATTGCGACGCTCAATCAACAGGTGTCCAAGACTCAATGGATGGCGATCACTATGCAGGTACGAATCGACCTCCCCATCGCATTG